GGGCAGAGATGCGGAAGGCGATGGGGAGCGTGGACGATCTGATCGAGGAGGCCAAGGTGCGCACCGTGGCCTGGGCTCTCGGCATCTTCGCCATCTCCTACTTCCTCACACGTAAGCTACGCTCCGCCCCCCTTCCCCGTATGCTACCCTCGATTTTCGCAAAGTACGCGGCAATTCGGCGTATCGGGAGAGAATTTGGGTGGCTGCTGCTGTTGGATGCATGTGTCGGAATTGTGAGGGAATTCGGCGGATAATGCGTCTGAAATCTAGACAATTTTGCTACCCGGATAACTAGAGCTTGTGCGAACATTTGCTACGCGATGCATCTGACAGCTAGGAGTTTTGACCGCTATTACGTGGGGGCTTTTAAGCTGCTAGTTTCTGCTTGCCCTTGATTTGGTTACTGCTTTTAGCGTTAGAGTTGAGAACTTGAGATCATTAGCAAGGAAATTTGCCTGGATATATCAAAACTCTTAAAAAACAATCTTAAATTTGTGCGATACTGTATTTCTTCAAGTCGTTTGATGAATCTCTAAATGTGCTAGAATGGAAGTAGTGGTTGGTGTACGAATGATGCCTTCTTTGCTGATCTTCTAATTTTACAGTGTTTGTTTTGGATCAGTAGATGAGGCCAATCAAACCTATATACAACAATCTGTTCGTGACGAATGAGGCAAAATAGGCTTCTAGCATTTCCTATGAGTAGACTATGTGTGAATTATGTGCAACATATTTTCTCAGCCTATTTTATTGACAAGCAAGATATCTCTAGCATAAATTGTTTATGGTTTGTTCTCGCATTTTCATGCAACTATTGATTTCTACATCATTTGTAGCTCCCATCTTGCGCATATACGGGCTTGCTAACATTTATCATCTTCTTTCTTTGAAATAGATACAAGTAAATCAATGTGGACAAATGTCCCCATGTCGATTCTTATACTTGCATTTCTCCGTTACGTCTCCTTCAAAGTGGAGTTCCGTTGGAGAAGTCAGCCTGTATCTAAGCAGACATATTTGTCTCAAGCGTCAAAACGACAGTTGTCTGCTAACGATCATCGGATTTCAACTGTGCCACCAGTTTCAAGATGGAGAAGGAAAGTTGATTCGCCTGCTGTTGAGGCTGCTTTTGAAAGTTTCATTGATAATGTTCTCCGGGACTTTGTCATGGACTTGTGGTATTCTGATATTACTCCTGATAGAGAGGCCCCAGAACTGATACGTGGCTTAATACTCCATGCCCTTGGTGAAGTATCAGGCAGGGCGAAGGAGATGAACCTAGTTGACTTGCTAACAAGGTGAGTGAATAATGGATCTACTATCTGGGGTGTACTTATTTAGTAATAATTATCTCCGTTGAGAATGAAAGTGTTCTCATTTTTCTCTATTGCAGGGATATGTCTGATTTGATTGGAAAACATGTGGATATGTTCCGAAAAAACCAATCTGAAATTGGTGTTGATGTCATGGGAACATTGTCTTCCGAGGAAAGAGATGAGCGACTGAAACAACACCTAATAGTTTCACAGGAACTTCACCCTGCATTGTTATCTTCGGAGCACGAATACAAGGTGAGTGCTAATACTTTTAGCTTCATTCTAGTCCATTTATCCAACAAATAATATTTAAAGTGGGTTATAGGTTCTTCAAGAGCTAGTTGGGGGCATTATGGCCCTAGTGCTGAGACCACAAGATGCACAGAGTCCATTGGTCCGCTGCTTCTCCAGGGAACTTCTGACTTGCTTAGTCTTGCAGCCAGTGATGAACTTCGCAAGTCCTATGTAAGCTCTTAATTCTTCACTCTGTTTTCGTTTTTTTATTGAGCTCTACTACATGCTTCTGTTCATGAGGTCATGACATGTTCAGAAGAAAATCAATGCATTTTGTTTCTCAAGTTCTTCCTGGTTATTTTCACCACCGTCTTAATATTCAGTTATTCACAAAGTGCCGCATGCAGTCAGTACTTAAGTACGTCTAATAAGCTGTTGTTTCAAATTGTTAGGATTGATTGGTTAACTAGATGTAACCTTGTTTTTTTTCTCTAACCTGCACTAAACCAATTCCTAATTTATCTTCTTTCTTTTCCTAGTTATGTGAACGAGCTAATTATCTGCTTTCTAAACAACAAAGACACAAACATTGGAGGCAGCGTAAACAAGACTAGTACTGTAGTCGCAGTAACAAATGATCATTCATCTTATAAAGGAGGTTCGCAGGGTCGTCAAATGGAATCACAAAAGTTGTCTGCAGAATCAAGTGGCTCAGTACTAGCAAGTAGCTCCGGGATGACTTCCGTTGAGGGTGATAAGTCAAAAGTGTTAGTGGATGACCATGGGAAGACCGTCCAGCCTCGTCAGGCAGATTGGGCACTGGTATTAGATGCAGCTACTAAAAGGCGGTCTCAGGTTCTTGCTCCGGAGAATCTTGAGAACATGTGGGCTATTGGGAGAAACTACCAAAAGAATATGGTGAAAGTGGAACGTCCATCAAAAGGAAAAGGTGCAGGAGGGGTAGATAGCGTTCGAAATGCGGTAGTGGCCGGAAAAGAGTTATCCCCTAACTTCAACGAGAGAGTTACATCGGTTGATGACAAATACATGGTTAATTTGATGCAAGGTTCAAATAGGAATGCTCAGTCCACTTTTGTTACAGGCAGTCACCCACTTGTTTCGCAAAATACAGATGAAGTAAAGTCAGAGCACCCTGAAGCTGTCAAGAACACAAAAGCTCAGCTAAAGCGGTCTAATAGTAGTCCTGATATGGAGAAAAGACATTTGGCCAAAAGTAATCAAACCGCGCTATCCAGTGAAAGCTTGAATGCAAGGACCATTCGAGAGGACAAAGGTTCTGTTCCTTCCTCACATGGTGAGGTACTAATGTATGCTCCAAAGATAAGGTGTCGGGTAAGTTTTGCTGATCCCATCACAACCACTCTTTTCAATATCCTTTTTTCTTCAGAAATTGAGAATTATATGATTGGTTGGTACTACTGAATAAATGAATTTAAACCATATAATACTATTGTGTAATTAGCACTCACCAATGACTAAACTATTTCTGTATTGAAGGCTGCTATAATAGTTATAATAGTAAGCACAGTCTGTTCTGAGATAGTTTCAGACATTGATAACAATCACATGCTAATCGCTGTTTTTTGTTTTGAAAGCCCCTGGTAATTTTCTACTCCCTCTGTCTTACATTTTGAGACAGAGGGAGTAGCTGTTACTAATAGAATTGTTATGGGTGTGAGGTTCGTGTTTTACTTCATATGTTGTATTTTGCATCATTACCTAAGTAACCATTGTTATGCCAGTTGCTTTCTTTTTCTATTTAACATTTATAAAGACTAGCATCTGGTTTTCTGTGGTTCTGTTACTTCTTAGCATTAGCTGTCCAATGAGAATTGGCTACCGGATTTAAAAATTTAAATCGGGTGGGGGGTGTTTACTTGAAATACCACCAACTGACGGAATTTCTGAACAAAAATTGGATCTAATTTTTGTGAGATAAAAAGTTAACGAACCTAGGTGATGACACATAAACAACCGTAACCCGATGGTCGGCGTGCTTCAGCCCATTCCATGAGGTCAGGGGTTTGATACCCCACCTCCCGCTTACAGTTTTTTGCTGATGTAGTGAAAAAGTAAGGAAAGAAAAAACAAACGACAATGTGAGGACTTGAACACATGACCAGAAGAAAAGTGCAGCTCTCCCACACCATTACACCATGCCTTGGTTTGTGAACTGAGTTGAAGACAGTAGCAACTTGAATTCAAATTAATCCGGAATTTTCAATCTGGTAAGAGTGATTGCAGGGAGGGTGGGTAAATATGGATCATCCGGTCACCAGAACCTTGGCAACAACAACAACAACAAAGCCTTTAGTCCCAAACAAGTTGGGGTAGGCTAGAGGTGAAACCCATAAGATCTCGCAACCAACTCATGGCTCTGGCACATGGATAGCAAGCTTCCACGCACCCCTGTCCATAGCTAGCTCTTTGGTGATACTCCAATCCTTCAGGTCTCTTAACGGACTCCTCCCATGTCAAATTCGGTCTACAGCACCCTCTCTTGACATTCTCCGCACGCTTTAGCCGTCCCCTATGCACTGGAGATGAAACCCAAAAGGTCACCAGAACCTTGGAATGAACACATATACAGCTCACTGTTTGGTCTGGTAGTTTTGTACGATAACTACTTTGCATGTTGCTTTAAATAATATGTTGTGTTTTTACATGATTACGACATGCCTAGCTGTTGTATCCTATACCTTCCTGTTATTGTCTAGCTATTTATGTGAAGTCATATTCTTTTGATAGCCGTATTTTACTCAAGTTGTGTTTTTTTATTTTTCTTTGCAGGTAGTGGGTGCATATTTCGAGAAACTTGGTTCAAAATCTTTTGCAGTTTATTCTATTGCTGTGACTGGTGCAGATAACAAGGCCTGGTTTGTGAAAAGAAGGCATGCGTTTCTGAACAGCTTTGAAATAGCTCAGTATAACTACTAATAATATATGCTGCTGACTTTCAACTTCTGTTTGTAGATACCGGAATTTTGAGCGTCTTCATAGACAACTGAAGGAAATACCAAATTACTCACTGCACTTGCCTCCAAAGAGTTTCCTTTCGTCTAGTATTGATGATTACCTTGTGCACCAACGATGCATTCTACTGGACAGATATCTTCAAGTATGCTTTTGTCCTCTAGCATTCATCCAACTTTTTACTTCAAATTTGGTTACAATAATCTGTTCTGTCCAATAGGATCTCTTGTCGATCGCTAATATTGCAGAGCAGCATGAAGTTTGGGATTTTCTTAGTGAGTCCTCAAAGGTGTGTATGAAGCCAACAAAAATTCTTTGTGCCTTCTCCTTAGCAGGAGAAAGATGAACACATAATTTTGTGTTACTTTCCTGCGATTCTATATGCTTCATTTCTTTTTTCCATTTTGTAGAATTACTCAGCTGGAAAGTCCACCTCTGTTATCAAAACCTTGGCTGGTATGTACCTCTTCTCATTCTATATTTTTTTCACAATTATGAACTCGTGTATTTGATATTTTCTCACTCAAGATATTTATCTATTTATTTTGCATCACTAGTTAACGTTGATGATGCCATGGATGACATCGTTCGACATGTTAAAGGAGTTTCAGATGGTCTAAAACGCGCAGTCGGCACATCGTCCCCTAGCGCACCGTATTCACACTTGACAGATAATAGGATGTCTCTATCTTGGAACCAGGAAGAGACAGATAATCAGAATCTGCAGAATAGAAATTTAGGAAGTTCACATAGTCTCTCTGATGGTGATAGTAACTGTGAAGATCGCCCCTCATCTGTAAATAGTGCATGCCACTCGGACAATGAATTGAGCAATGGAGGGTTCATTTCAAGTGATATTAAGCACAATGAAGCAACTGGTTGTGATGTACAAGTAAACCAACAAATAGAAAAACCTGCAAGGGCAAATTCGGATTCTACAAACATGTCATCTGTAAAACCATTTGAGGATCCATCAGGAATTCCTCCCGAGGTATGTATTTCCACTATGTAGCTATATTTAAGTCAAATTGCAGGGAAGTTCTGTTCTAAAAGCTTTTCCATTTTGCCCTAAAACTTCTCTTTTCATTTGGCAGTGGGTGCCAACAAATGTCAGTGTGCCTCTATTGAATCTTGTAGACAAAGTGTTCCAACTAAAGCGACGGGGTTGGATAAGGTTTGCTATTTCTTTTTCATAAACTTTTTCTAGTGTGCCTCTATATAATTTGCCTGCTAGTTTTCTACTACTGTTATGTAGCCATGAGTGAAGTAAATGCAGTACTGTAGACACCATGAGGATCGCGATAGGAGCTGCTTGGGCCGATTGCTAGATATCATTGATACTTGTCACTTCACATATTATGGCAGTATACTGGATGATGATAATTAACATCATTATGGAATCCGAGAGGGAAGTTTGTGCAGATATGCCATTGTTTATTCAGGGATTCTTTGATATTTCTGCGCAAGTCAGATATATTTTCACCATCCATGATTGGGTTCACAATACTTCTACAATCCAATGTTTCTAGCTTTCAATTGCAGAACATTATGTTTGACTTGTTACTTATGTTATCTGCAGAAAACAAGTTTTCTGGATATCAAAACAAATCTTGCAGTTAGTCATGGAAGATGCGATTGATGATTGGATTTTAAGACAGATCAATTGGCTCCGACGAGATGAGGTCATTATACAAGGAATCCGTTGGATTCAAGATGTAAGGAGGCACTGTATATTTTTGTCTGAACTGAAGTGTTCTAATACCCTTTCCGCTGCCAGACTAAAATTTGCTGTATTATCTGCATGAAACCATGTTAAAAAGTTGTTCCAACTAGAAAAAAAGTTCCATATGATCCAAATTGTTACTTGGTACTCCCTCCTTTCCATAATTTTAGGCGTATTAGTTTCAGCACGAAAATTACCGCAGGTTTACTTGAGCGATCCAATCTCATACTAGGAAGGCGCTGTGAGCTGACCTCACAAGAGACCCAGCCAGCGATATGTTTTCCTTTCCAGAAAAATAGCGATAGTTAGTTATGGCTGTAAGTGAATGGGAGAAGAAGGCACGTGCACCTTAGATTATGGGATTGCATGCAAAACTAATACGCCCAAGATTTTGGGTAGGGAGTACTTGGTACCAAATCACTTTTTTGCTAAACGATGGCATAACATAAATACCAAGGTAATTAGCAAATTATTCTTATATGCTAATTGCTAGGGTCCAATATAAAATGTTACTACTGTCATATTGGCCATATTGTGTCCCAATGTAGGTGCATGCCAGAACTAAGAGCGCTTTAGATAGTTGTACCTAATGGACAACTACTCTGGTCTTCCATTTGTGTAATTAACAAATTTACCATCCTACAGACCCTCTGGCCTAATGGTGTGTTCTTCACCAAGTTGGATGGATATCAAGGAAATGCAGGTAGCAGTCAATTTGACAAGCACCCATCAGGGAGTGCCGATGAGACTATTGGCAACAGAAAGAGCAACGCGAGCTCTTTTGAGCTTCAACTGGAGGCATCTAGAAATGCCAGTGAAGTTAAGAAACTTCTTTTAGGTGAGTCTATTGACATATTTTATCGCATTGCTTTTGTAATTTTTCTATTTCTGAATCTACGCTGCAAACATTGGGCGGTGTTTGCATGCAAATTCAGATATGTGATAGAAGCAACGAATACGCAAAATTCTGGTCAGTACATGTGGTCCAACTAACCTAATTCTCGATGTCCTGTCCAGGTGGGACTCCATCTACATTAGTCAGCATAATTGGGTACAAGCAGTACCAGCGCAGTGCAAGGGACATCTACTACTTCCTGCAGGTAAGTAAAAATCCAAAACCTAGCATCAAAACAGCGATATGGTGCGATGTCATTCTGATTTCCATGATTCCCATGCTGTGCTGCAGTCCACCGTGTGCGTGAAGCAGCTCACTTACGCGATGATAGAACAGGTGCTTGTAACACTTTTCCCTGAGCTTCATAAGCTCATAGAAGGCATCCATGAGAAGGGTCGCAAGGAACAAGCCTCGTTCATTTACCAACTTTGACTGAAATGGTGAGAGACCATCTTGATACACGTTTTAAATTCTAAGCCTGCGTCGGTGACGTAGCATGAGGCTCCCTGGGCCGCAGTTTTGCCCGAATGGATTTTGACAGCAGAGCTGGATCCAGGGGTTGGTTGGTGTTTCGCCCCGCACTTAAATATGTACAGCTGTATATCAGGAGGTATGTAAATTAGGCACCCTGATGCAATCTAGAGCGAGGAGTTTGAGTTCAGAGTTGTACTACTAGGAATAGTATTGTACCACATCATTCTTTATTCTATTTTTCTTTCTGCCTAGGCCGTAAGTTATTCGCTTAGACCGAGGCTTGTAAGTTGTGCAGAGACTCAATTGTATAGCTGTACCATTTTGCCGCATGTTGTGTATCAGACCATTCTCTGGAGATGAGCATCCAGATCCAATGGAGCATCGTGAACTTTGCCTTGGTGTATCTCTGTGACTGAAAAGTGTTTGGCCCGTTTGGAACACATGAATTTTACTGGTGTGTAGCTCTTTTGCTGCCGCATGAGATGGAGAAGGTCTGTTGCTGTGTTCCGGACGGGTCTGGTATGTATGTGCAGTTGAGTGATGACTTGGGTTGGAAAATTGGCGTGAAAACTGTACTAGTACCTATCGTCACTGATAGAAGCCTTACGCTTTGGACAGATCGAAGCTTTCATCCGACGGACATGGACATGCACCGTTGTCTTGTTGCCTTCCTAAATTCCATGAACTTCCTTTCCATCCCTGGTTAACTAACTCGACCCATGTAGACCTGGCGATACCCCCTACCTGGAGATAAGCTACTAGATGATCCTTGAAAGCGAACGAGGAAAGACTCTGCACATGAAACAAAGATCGAGTTTTGTCCACGGATGTCTTCTCCCCCCCTGCCCTGCCCTTATATCTTGCCGTCCCGAAGCCAACAGATGCATGTGCGTTCAGTAGAAGCGGATCCGTTGGTGATGAGACGTTTATTAACACCAAAAAGTTGCGATTTCTTAAGACGAAAATATTGGAAGAATTCGAAAAGGAGAATGAATGGTGACTGTCAGGTCAGGTATGGAAAGGTGCACTGGTGCGAGCTAAAAGTTGATTCGACTCGTATGCCTGCCGGTGCTCGATCTGGGGTCAGATCGCACTGTTCCCGAATCGTAAAGCACGATCGGGGCGGTGGTTGCCCCGTCGCTCTCGCTCTCTCAACTCACGAGCCTCTTCTCAGCTCAGTGTTCTCATCGGCAGGGCTAGATCTAATCCTACCACAGTACATAGCATGCACATATCCACCGATCAAGAACTAGTGTCATTTCGACGATATTAGTTCCGATATCTAAAACTAACGGTGCTCTGTGGGCCCGGAAACAACAAGTCTATGCCTACCCTATAGCCTAGTAGCCTAGGCGATGAGGTATCCCAATTCATAGTGCGAGCTCCAGATCTTTCCGAAACGAAAAAAAGGGAAAAAAAGAGACAAGACATGAGCTATACGACGTCATTGTCCAAGTCTTTTCGGCCACATGAAACGACAACACTTGACTTCTCTTTACTACTGCTAGGGCAAGTTGCAGCAGCTTAGTACGTACTAGTTGCTAGGTGTCCTAATTACTCTCCATGGCGACGAAAACGCAAAGAGGAAAAGATCTCAATACATGCACCGGAAAGATGACGCACCACCTGGCGTCATTGCCCGTGGACACTTGTCTTGGCGCATCGATCCTCCCAGCCAGCAGTTTGCGCTCCATCCGGCTGACTTGGCCGGCAGCAGAATCTCGAGCCATATCGCAAATCTACAGGCTGTGCGTGTGCATGCACCACTGTGATAAAAGCCTTGTCCCAAACCGGCTCACAAGTCCTATTCTGGACTGGGCGGTTTTCAGGGCAGTCTCTCATGACGGCTCAAAAGCGCAGTCCAGGAAGAAACATATTCAGACGGGTCATTGGTTCTTCTAACGAAATTGCTAGAACTCGGTTCAAAGAATTCTTTTTTTTTTTAAAAAGGGGAAGCTCCCCGGCCTCTGCATCAGAAAGATGCATACGGTCACAAATTCTTAACATCATTTTTTTACCAACACTTGGCATGCCTTCACATGAAACCACTTGTGACGCGCGATTTAATCACCGCATGCGGTTTCATTTCAAAGTCATATGTGATGTTTGACTAATTAAGGGCCGATAATCACACGTGCAGACATGCTCGCGGAACCAGTGAAAAATCAATCCAAAATTTGCAAGGCTCACAGACTGAACAACGAAGCAGAGAGATCAATGCCTGCACTGTTTGTATGTAAAGGGAAAAGGCTGTTCGAGTTTTAGGACGTTTGACCTAGCGCTTGTAAACCCGAACGGGAAACACTGGAGAAAACTGATTCGAGAGGCATCCCGACAGCCTCACACTGTCCCACAACAGATTTACGACGATCACGCACGCACGAAGTGGATTCGACGAATTCCAAGATGACGATGAATGATGGGGATCAAACAGTGAAGAGATTGCCCAAACAGTGCAGACTAGTTACGCTACATCTACATGCACTGGTTTCTTTCTCTGCAAGGACATATAATCACAGTTGATTAATTAGTGTAGTGGGATACACAGGTGTCCTACCTGACCTCCATGCCCCCTCCCATCTGTTTGATCAATGGTTGACGTACTTATGGAGTAAACGTCGATGGGTCTGTCGGTTTGGATGCAATGCATTAGATGGACGGGTAACAACAGTTCGTGCACTGTCTCTAGCTATGCCTGTGCTCTTTGTATTTCAAATAGAGGGTCATGTCACACCACCGTCCCTAGCATGCACCGTGGCATGATCTCTCCTCTCCTGCCCCATGTCATGATTTGCATGCTGAATTGTGTCAGGGGGTGACTAAAACTGCTGTTTAAGTTTCCAGTCCAAGCTTATAATCTACTGCTGTAACGTCGATCGTGTTATGTGCCTCAATGTTTACCTCATCATACTACGTATAATCCAACAGCTGGAGAACGTGCTGCTGGAGAGGATGCATGGCGATGATCCTGATGGACAGAGACAGAGGCCGTGTGTTCCCATGTAAGAAAATTAGCTTCAGTTTTGATGGTATAAATCGACTGTCCGACTGATGATAGCTCTGCATGCAGCCACGGTTGGCAGATGTATACATGTCAGTCCTGCAATGTCACAAAGCACATCCAATACGCTATTCTGGGGCGCATGCCCCCCTCGTTTTGGTGCTTTCAGTCAGGCACCTTAATCTGGAGGTCACTGTCCTGTTTGGATAGCGATTTGATTAACTCGTGCTGACATGTGCTAGTACAGATTATTATGTTTACCAGTCAATGATTCCATACAAACATAAAGAATGTGTGTGGTGATTAAAATTAAGGAAGAAAACTTGTCACTAAGAGTTAACGTCTACTCTAGTGGAAAATATTGTCTTCCTTTAAATGTTAAAAATGCTCTCATCTCTTAACTTCTCTTAGGTCTAGTAAAAATCACAGCTCTGTTTAGAAACCAAAGATATATCTTCACTCTTTGATATTTTGACCTTTTACATTTTTTATATCTACAGATTTTTTTTTAAAAGGAGGATTACCCCCGGCCTCTGCATCCGAAAGATGCATGCGGCCATGGACACGACATTTTCCTCGGCTCCATTTGTGTAGGGATCCGCGGTTGGGTCTGAAGAACGGTGCCATTGGGGGGCAGAGACAAGCACCCGACACCGGGGGACTTCGGCCTGGGGTATAATAACATTCTTTTAGGCAAATATTCCCTCTGTTCCTGAATATAAGCCTTTTTAAAGATTTCAACATGAATTACATACGAAGCAAAATGACGTAATCCATACTCTAAAAATGTATATATATATTCGTTTGTTGTTTGTACTTAAAATATCTAAAAATGCTTATATTTAGAAATGAGGGAGTAGTTGGCAATTTAGATAGTCCAGGGTGTATCTCTTTCAGCCCTACTTCCTCCAATACCCCACCGCGGGCATGCGGCACTGCTGCCCCTCCCCCAATGAAACCAGACTAGAAGAGGGGACGGTGGATGCAGCTGTGGAGAGATCCACATCTCGGCAGCGAAATAGAGGCACAGAAGGAGCGCCATCGATCTGATCTTTCCAACAACGGATACAAGCTTGTTCAAACCCTAAAAAACTACTCCTTCCGTCCCATAATGTAAGACGTGTACTAGTTCAGTGACTTATAATGACTCGCTTAATAATTGCATCATCATGCTAATTTACCTCCTGCTGCAGCTAGATCGATCAATCGATTGATCGATCGACAACGAAAAGTATAATTAATTTGTTTGGAGCAAGACATGAAAGGACAGCATAAGGTTATCTTGTCACGCCCACCTATCTATCTATTGATTTGACACGATCGAGTGCGCGTAGGCTGAAATCTCTTGGTTTCAATTCACTCCCCAACTAAACCAACAGGGAGATCGTTGAGCTGCTTAATGAGAAGTAGTATAGCTGTAGCACTACAGCACTCGTCTGCATGATGTTAGAATAAATTCGAGGCCATCGTCGATCTATCGAGAACCAAGCAATCACACAAGGCACGACACCGAGATTTGTTAACGAGGTTCACCGATATGACTACATTCCCGGGGCCTGACTACGGGCGCTCCTCCCCGTGACACCGTCACAATGCCGCACCTCCGGCCCCCGAGCGCCGGCACACACAGCCGGCTCCCCCGCGTGCCTGTGCTATTATGTTGGCATA